GCTGTTGTCGCGCTGTGATGACGTCAGCTACGCGGTTTCGTCGAGCGCCCTTTAGTCGAACACGGTTTTGGGGTGGAACCCCCCCAACCGAAGGGCGGGTTAAGCTTGGGTTGAGCTTCCTTCAGCTTTTGCCTCTTGAATTTCAGCAAGTAGGTTCCCCTTTTGAGGGAACCGTAATGTGCTTGCATTTTTTTCTGAGGTGGATAGGCCTCCCAGCTCAAGAGGACAGCCTGAGGCTTGGGCGAGTGTCTGCAGAAGCAGAAAAGGGGAGGAGGAGGAAGAGAGAAGGGAGGAGGAGAGCCTAAAGCTCATCTCCATCTCTTGAACCTCCATGGAGATGATCTCCAGTTGATAGACAGCCAGCCTTGCCTCAGGTTGACAGCCCAGTTCAAAGCTCCCACTTCCTGAGAAAATACGCTGAGGTTCAAGAATTCCCAGGCTAATGACTGGTGCATTCAGGAACCTGAACTCCAACCTGATAGTTCGATGCAATCGGATTTCAGCTTATTCAAAAGTTTGTAGGAAGGCAGGAAAATAAACACATTAAAAAAAAAAAGAAGGATGACTGGAGGGTGAAAAATCTGGATTTCTCTGAACAGAATGAAGCTCCGTTGAAACGAAGCCAGCTCTGATTTTCTAAGAAGTGGCTCGGAGCTCTCTTATCCCCCATCAACCAAAACTTGCTCTCATGGTTAAGCTGTCCTTGGAAATCAATCTGAATGCAGCAGAGCAACCGACCACAAACCGCAGCTGGATTTTAGTTCCCTTTTTTTTTAGCTCAGCTCTGTGACAAGTTGGGCCAGGTCAGCTGATACCAACAAATTCCCACTTCTTGGTTTTAAAAATAAATAGAAAAGATATGAGCAACATGTTCTGGCCGAGGCTTCCCGAGAGCCGGAAGCAAACGCCTGGTCCCGACAAAAACCCCTTTTATTAATTTGCTGTGAATTCTGCTCATTCCCATCCAGCAAAGCCTTTCAAGGGCGGATTTATAGTCACAGACCTTATCTTGCTTGGAGAGCTACCAGGCCAATATCTGCAAAACCTGGCAAGGAGTCTCCGAGAGTCACGAACCAATAAAGCGAACTAATTGTCTCCTGCAAGCTCCACTCCCCTTTCGCTCCTCTTTTATTTCCTCTGGGAGGGGCCATTCATTGTCCACCTGTGGCTTTACTCCCAAGTCGACCCTTGTTCCTTAGCTGTTCCCTTCGCCTGGCCACTCTGCGCATGTGCACACTGGGAACAGGCTCCAGCTGTTCTTCTGCCTCACTGATGTCTGCCTCTGAAAAGCAGCTGATAACTGGCATACGGCTCCCTCTCTGCCTCCGACACAGAGCCCTCCTCAGAGCCTTCCCCAGATTCCAGGACTGGCCCATGTTTCTCCCCAACCTCCTCACTGTCGGAATCTGCTGCCAGCTCTTCTGGCTGCTGGCGGGCCACAAGCCAACATTCCCAAAAGTGAAATCCCAAGCAAGCAATTGGAACAGCCGAATGAATCTTGTAGCACGTTTACATTTCAGTGGTTTCTCTCGTTCCTTCGGTCCATAACCAGTGACGCCCGCCCTGAGTCCCAAAATGTATCGGAATTGTAGCTCCCAGTATCCCCATTCAGCCAGTGACTCTACGGACTGGGAATTCTGGTTGTCGAAGAATTTCTGAAGAACCACTGCCAAGATCATAAGAATTTTTATTTCCTCCTGGCCTCGGGCTATTCTCTGTAAATAAATTCATGGGTGCAATTAAATGGTTTCCTACGCACTCTACCCAAGTCCCTGCTTTCAAGCTACCCAACAAGTTTATCTGGGAGGAAAAAAACCTGCAAAGGGAAACACATCCACTCAACATAAAAATGAGTGAGTCCACAACAGAGTCAGAATTCCCAGGCGGAGAGCAAAAGAGCCAAAGGAACCTGTGCCAGCCTCCGCTTCCTGATTCGTCTGGGGAGAAATTTCTTGGAAGCCCTGCTGGGAGGGGCTGGTCTTTCCTGGTTAGCCTTGACTTGGCTTTCCCGGTTGAGGTTAAGCTTCTAGCAGGTTTTCCATGTATACAGGAAGCTCTCACCATTTCTTTAGGGACGGTTCAAAGTTTGTTTTTGTTGGTTGCGAAGTCGTGTTTGACCCGTCGTGACCCCATGGACAATGTTTCTCCAGACCTTCCTGCCCTCTACCAATCCCCGGAGTCCATTGAAGCTCACGCCGGCTAATTCGGTGACTCCGTCCAGCCACCTCCTTCTCTGCCGTCTCCTTCTTCTTCTTTTGCCTTCCATCATTCCCAGCATGAGGCTCTTCTCCAGGGAGTCCTTCCTTCTCATTAGGTAGCCAAAGTACTTGAGATAGATAGATAAGTTTGTAAGTAAGTTTGTAAGTTTAATTTTATTTATAGGCCACCCAATCCCGAAGGACTCCGGGCAGCTTACAGAAGGGAAAAGAGAGAAATAAAAGAAAGTAAAAATAAAAAAGACAAGTTAAAACGACACAGATACATTCATTTCAGTCAGGGCTGGCTCCTCAACA